TTACTTAAGTAGCCTTAAAATGCCTAAAATCAAATATAAATTACCCATTCCATTTTAGTATTCATCACTTAAAAGCTTCTTGGTATTTCAATTGCAAAATATAGCTGATATTCACACACACTTTGTCTTTCACTATACATTGTGCGCTACTTAAATACAATTAACAAAAATTATATTGCGCATTCGGCTATCAAGCTGAACTGCTCGCACTGCTCGCTTACATTTCCGCTCAAGCTGAACTGCTCACACTTCAGCTGAACTAGCAAGTGAGCTGTAGCCGTCCTGCTTGCTCGCTTTAGAATTAGGCCGTTGACGCTGTTGAGCTGTTATATGCTATTCACTTTTGCTCGCTTCAAGTCTTGTTCTTATATACAATTCAAGTAGTATTTAGGCACTCTTGCATGGTTTGTGGGTTCTATTTTCCTTTGCTGCGTGAGGCGTGACTGTAAAGCAAGTGTTCGTGAATGTTCGTGCTTGTGTGCGCGTGTGTGAGTGTATATGTACGTTATGTTCCACAATACTTTTTATGCTCCTGAATTTCAGTTTAAATTCACGTCGTTCCATTATCAGCCATTATATATGATCAATTTGAAAAGAATAATCTATATTTGCACAACTCGCTATATAATACAAAAGTATATATATTGACTCTGCCCATTATCATAAACCCTTGCCAGGTGAGCTGCGCAACACGTGTTGGTCGTCCAACCACGCAGCTTTTTTATTATGTAGATTTAGACAAAACAAAACGTCGAAGGATTTACACGAAAAGTCGAAATCAATTCAAATCTGAACCCAAAATGTTTTCATTGCATAAAACTATTCGCAATGTTGCATGTTTTTTGCAGGATTTTCAGTGATAAATATTCTTCCCCAATAAAAAGCTGCTTATTTAGCTTTAAATCGCCAGAAAGCAGTCTTTGTTTTAAAGGTTACGAGAATTATATGAAAGTTAACAAATGATAATGGTTTTTATAAATATTTTATTTTTTTATATTGAAAAGCATTTATTAAAAATTATTCAATGAAGTAACTATAAAATTCTTGAAAATATTAAATATTTGTTTAATACTTTAAATAAATAGAATATTTTTGTAAATTTTTAGATTTGCGATATCACTTAAAAATTATCCAAACAAATACAGCCTCAATGCAGCTAAATATTTGCATATCCACATCCGATATATATTTAATATATATTTAAATTAGTGCATTTTTACCCTACCCACTACACTAGTCAAAACAAAGCATTTGTAGACAGGAAATCAAACTTGAATGTCACACTTTTTGTTTTTTTTTTTTTTTGTGCAATCACTGCCACGCCCACGACGCCTCAAAAATCAGAGCCAGAAAGCAATCAACAAAATATCAACAACTTTTGCTCATTCTCTTCGTTGTCGCAAACAAAAAGCGCAAACCAGCCGAGAAAAATGATGGCTAGAGGGCAAGGGGGAAGGTAGAGCAGCAAGTGCCAACTCAAAGGGCAGTTTCACACAGTTCCAACTACGGCCCACCCCCTACTTGCCTTCTTGGTACACTCCACAGGCACGCCTTCCGCCCACCGCTTGGTAACCCAACTGTGACACTCGACGCAGCAAACCATGAATATTTTAGTAAACGTCGCGCTTTGACTTTGAATCTCACAGCTGGCAGAGAGAGAGAGGGAGAGCAGGGGGTGGGGTGGTAGAGAAAGGGTTACGCAGCATCCCTGACAATTTACGCCATTTTCGAAAAAACTTTGGTTTTTTATTCGCGCTGCCCAGGCCAGATTTTAGTTTTCAGTTTTTCGAAAAATGTGCAAAGTTTTGCGGGTGTCGACAAGGTCTCTGCTCTAAATTGGGGGCTGGGGTGGAGTGCGGGCATTGGGGGCGTGGCGTTTGAATTACGTTATTGCCTAGAAGTATGCTTTGGTGTTTTGCGGTTGAAAAAGTTTCAATTGCGTGGGTCGTGCGACGTCGACGTCGCCGTTGCCATCGTCCACGTTGGTCCTTAGCTGCGTTCGCACATTTTATTAAATAAATTGCAGCGGGAGGACAGGCGCTCCTTGTCGTCATTTTGTTATGCAAAAAAAAAAAGGGTTTCCCCTAACAATTCCCAAGTGCTGAAGTGTAAAATAAACAAAGCGCTGCGCAGCACTGAGTAAACAAATTGAAAAGTTTTACTCATGCATTGAGAGTTTATTATAATATTTAATATTGGATTGCCAGTGAGAAAATATCTTCAATAAAGGGTTAATACATGAAATGAATAATCAACGCGGGAAAGTCCGAGGATGCCAATATTTTAGTACGTGCTTCAGTAAGTTTATTAACCTGTACTCAGCTAGCACATAATTTCTTTTTTAATCAGTTTCCTTTAATTTAGAGAAATACAACTAACCGCTAAAAGCCCTACTTCATTCATTTAAAACTATACTAGAAAATAAAACAATCGACTGACAAACTTTTACAAAAATATATATAATTTTTAAGATTAAAAATTAATTTGCAAAAGTTAGATAAAATCAATCGCCTGCTAATTAGTTTGTAATCAATATAAGAGATCATTTAAGCATTTTCAAGCATTTCACTTAAGCCTTAAAATCTCTCAAATGCTGTTTATCTCTTCAGCCAAGTCAATAAAGCCAATTAGAAGAAAAGAATCTTCCTAATCTCTTTTAATTCACTAAATAAAAACAGCACTTCAAATATTATGTACACATACACAAGCGCATGTTTTTGAATGTTGTCTTTGAAATCTTTTTTTTTCATATGATTTCATTGTTTTTGTGTAAAGCAAATGCAACAGAAGCAAGAAAGAGAGAAGAGAAAGACAGAGAGAGCTAGCGTGAGTCAGCGTCAGACTGTTGTACAATTCAATTAGACCAAAAAGACAACAAACGTAAACAAAATGAAGATAAAACACAAGGAGCAAGACAGAGAAAGAGCAAGCGAGAGAGAGTGGCAAATGGAGAGAGAACTAGTTGAAAATTATCTGAGCATTTCGCGCAAATGGAAGCGGAAAATTCATTTTTGCCGCAGTCAGCCGTTTTTCTTTTCTATTTAGTTTTTTCTAGGCTTCTCGCTGTATAGCTGCATACCAACAGCCTGCATTTAACTAATTACTATAATTAATTAGGACTAACAACTGGAAGGCGGCTATGGAATGCGCAACTAAGGCAACTAAATGTTGCAAAAGTCGAGGCAAGCCAAGTTGGTTTGCAGATAGGCATAGCACACACGCTCACGTACACATACACACATACACACACACACATGTCTGCCAGCTAAAATCGGGTGATAATCCCCAAGGCATATGAACATTTAAGCTTATGCTAAGTGCTGTTGATGGTGATGATGGTGTCTGTTGTTAAATGTCTTAGGATTATAATAAGGATAAATACATATATATTTTAGAGTGCGTGTGTGAGCTCTGGCAATGCTTTATTTATTGTCTATAATATACAACAAAATACCAAAAATTTAATTTTAAAAATTAAATTTCTTATTACAATTAATAGCATTCAGAAATTAATTATGCACGAGCTTCTTTCCACATAAGACTGATGATTACAAATACAAATTAGATGGGAAATATTAATGTAAATTTATGCAATTTTTTTCTTAGCATATCGTAAGTTCTAAATATGCATTAGTTTCTTGTGATGGGATTTTAACCGGTAATGTCCGACAAGGGCATACCCTGAACGCCGTACGATGCAGATATATCGTCACATTCATAACACCTTTTACAGAATCAAAGTTGCCGCCATCATTGCTGCATCCTGCATCCTGAGCATAAAATTCCTACCAAATTTTCTAAAGAAGATTTAGACAATTATCCAAATATGTTTCTTCTGGATCGCCCCTCAGTATTTTTTCAATTTATGCGATACAAATCTACGAATCCCCTTTGTTTTCTACATTCTTAGAAACACTTGTTATAATTTCTTGCATTTACTAAATTACATAATTTGAAATATGAAATATAATCAAAATCGAAGTTCTTTTTGAAGAGTTGTTCAAGCAAACTACAAGACTTTAAGCTTTAAGCTGTGTTCAATACAAGTGCGAGGCTTTTCACTACTATTAACAAGCAGAAGAAATCAAGGCAAATGCATATAAAATGTAAAGCAAAGCGAACTTGTTGAAAAATAACATAAAACATCAGTAAACAATCTGCATTTTGCAGACGCAGACGCGGACTGTTGGGACGGACGGAAAGACATAGACAATGAATAAAGCATTGGCAAAGGATATATGCCAAGGCAAAGTCACGCATGGGTGTCTGCCTGGTGTGTCTGAAGTTTTATACTAAGAGTGAGTCTGGGAGTAGCTGCAAAAATCTGCACTGATAAATAATAAATCTGCGACATAAGCAGCGCGTGGAATCTGTCGTAGCTTCCAGCTCGAGCTAAGCAGTGAAGACAACTGAACATACGTCTCTCTCAACAATATATATACTTTAAATAGTTCTGGAATCAACTTTAATATTGCCAAAGGCAAGCTTTATATATATCAAATATATATTCACACATATATACTTGTATATTTATATGATTGTATGTTATATATCTGACATGTTTGTAATAGCTTTTTTATGTTTGCTTTGTGGTCTGTCGATAAGCAAAAGGCGACAAACTGAAACAGCAAAACTTTTGCTTCCAGCCATGTCGAATGCATGCCAAAAGTCCCACTGCAGCTTCTTCTGTATAGCCCAAATGCCTTGCCAAATGGGGTTTGCTGCCGGTTTAGCTTACGTATGTAACAGTTGAGTGACAGCTTTGACCCAAACTTCACTTATTTTCACCTTCCTTTTACTCCCCTAAAATCGATAAATATCGGTATGAAGCTTCAATTGATATGCATGATAGCAAAACATATTTTAATCAAGACAAAAGCTAGAGGCTAATAATATTGGGCAAAGCTTTCTCCATTCACTATTTTTACATTTTTTTTCTTGAAATCGATAAATATCGAAGAAGATTTGGTTAGATGTTATAATCTCTAATATATCGAATATCAAAGCACAACCTTTACTCAAATTTTCCAGTCTATAACCATCATGGCGCTAGTTCTGTCTACCTTCATAAGCAACTAATCTGATTGCAGGGTATCGACGAGTGTTCCCCTATAAGTTGTCACCCTTTTGGCTTGTTATTATTATTGTTGCAATGCGAGAGTTGTTATTGTTGGCGGCTTGTTTTGACACAAAGCAGCGTAAAGCTTGGCCCGAAAAACTTTTCGCTGCGCTCAACTTTTAGCAGCACGCACAGCGAGTCCTTTGCTCGTTGCAAGTGTGAATGTGTGTGTGTGTGTGAGACTGCAGAACGTGTGCATAATATGACTAGAATGAAGGAAAGAGACGGAGCCATGGCTAGAGTCTGTCCAGCTCAGTGACCACAGAGCCTGCCTGCCTGCCTGCAGGCCAACCGGCCGCCCGGCCTCCTGGGTTGCACTTTGGACTCTGCGTCCTTTATGCATTTTGCTTATAATTAAGCCTCGTCCTGAACAGCAGCCGCTTCGCGGTTGGCAATAAGTGTTGGCATGTGGTTTTCGTGTTGCTATTGCTGGCCAGTTTGTGTTGCAAATTTTTTTAAGCTTAATTTGCACAATTAACGTTGCAATAAACTTTATGCGCAAACATTTAAGGGATTGCAGCATAGCCGACTAAAGGACGAAGGAATGTGAATGAGTTAATTACTATTTATTTAATTTAGGCAGCCAAAGGTGGAGGTGAAGGTGTGAGTTCCAGAATGTTTAATATCGTTGAAAAGAAATCTATGAAATATATTTAATTTTTCTAAATTCCTAGGAATAATGGGTTTATCCGATTGCAAGAGACATTGACTGAAATTGTTTGGTGGATTGAAGAGAGAATGAGCGCGGGAGAGACTATGAGCAAGGGTGAGAATGAGGGAGGTAGAATGATTCACAGAATGAAAGTGAGGGTAGAGAATGAGTGAGACAGAAACGGACAGTCAAAAACAGAAAGAATGGAACAATGAGAGAATGTGTGAAAATAAAGTACTAAGACTGAGAAATGAGAGAGCAAAAGTGAGTGTGAGTGACGGTGAGAGTGGGATAAAGAATGAGCAAGGAAGAATAAATGTAGCCGGGTGAGACAATGAGAATATGAGAATGAAAGGAAGAGAGAGATTAAGCGGAACAGGGAGAGAATGCAAGATAACGAGTGAAAGCGAGAGAGTATGAGCGAAACTAATACAGCTAGAAAGTGAATGGAAAATGAGTGAGAGCACATAGAGTAGAAGAAAAGAGATTGGACCAGAAACATCATAAAAGGGAACATGAGAGAACGATTTCTAGAAAACGTAAGCGTAAGCAACAGAACACCAGAGCAAGAGAATGAAAGTTTAAAAAGCGAGTGATCGAATGAGTATGATAGGTAAAGTGAAGGTGAAGGATAAGAGAGACAGAGAGAGTGAATGAGTGAGGAACCGAGTAAGACCGATTGAGAGACCGATTGAGTGATGATCTGAGGGAATGATTGAGAGAGTGCGAAACAGAATGAAGGGGAAAATGAGGGAACAAGAACTAGGATCAATAAAAAGAACGTGAGAGAACGTGAGTGAGAGTGAAAGAATAATTGGAGGAGAGAAAGTGATAGATTGACTGAAAGAATAAGTGAGGAACCGAGTGAGACTGATTGAGAGATCGATTGAGGGATGAACTGAGGGAATGATTGAGAGAGCGAGAAACAGAATGAAGCGAAAAATGAGGGAACGAGAGAACTAGGGCCAATGGAAAGAGCGTGAGAGAACATGAGTGAGAGTAAGAAACGCGAGAGGAAGAGTAAAAGTGAAAGAATATTTGGAGAGAAAGTGATGGATTGACTGAAAAAGTGAGTGAGTGAGGAACCGAGTGAGACTGAGAGATCGATTGAGGGACCGATTGAGAGACCGATTGAGTGATGAACTGAGGTAATGATTGAGAGAGCGAGAAACAGAATGAAGGGGAAAATGAGGGAACAAGAACTAGGATCAATGAAAAGAACGTGAGATAACGTGAGAGAGTGAAAGAATAATTGGAGGAGAGAAAGTGATAGATTGACTGAAAGAGTGAGTGAGAAACCAAGTGAGACTGATTGAGAGATCGATTGCGGGATGAACTGAGGGAATGATTGAGAGAGCGAGAAACAAAATGAAGCGAAAAATGAGGGAACGAGAGAACTAGGGCCAATGGAAAGAGCGTGAGAGAACATGAGTGAGAGTAAGAAACGCGAGAGGAAGAGTAAAAGTGAAAGAATATTTGGAGAGAAAGTGATGGATTGACTGAAAAAGTGAGTGAGTGAGGAACCGAGTGAGACTGATTGAGAGATCGATTGAGGGACCGATTGAGAGACCGATTGAGTGATGAACTGAGGTAATGATTGAGAGAGCGAGAAACAGAATGAAGGGGGAAATGAGGGAGCAAGAACTAGGATCAATGGAAAGAACGTGAGAGAACGTGAGTGAGAGTGAAAGAATAATTGGAGGAGAGAAAGTGATGGATTGACTGAAAGAGTGAGTGAGAAACCAAGTGAGACTGATTGAGAGACCGATTGAGGGATGAACTGAGGGAATGATTGAGAGAGCGAGAAACAGAATGAGGGGGGAAATGAGGGAACAAGAACTAGGATCAATGGAAAGAACGTGAGTGAGAGTGAAAGAATAATTGGAGGAGAGAAATTGATGGATTGACTGAAAGAGTGAGTGAGGAACCGAGTGAGACTGATTGAGAGATCGATTGAGGGATGAACTGAGGGAATGATTGAGAGAGCGAGAAACAGAATGAAAAGGAAAATGAGGGAACGAGAGAACTAGGGCCAATGGAAAGAGCGTGAGAGAACGTGAGTGAGAGTAAGTGAAAGTGAAGGATTAATTGGACGAGGGAAAGTGATGGATTGACTGAAAAAGTGAGTGAGTGAGGAACCGAGTGAGACTGATTGAGAGATCGATTGAGGGATGAACTGAGGGAATGATTGAGAGAGCGAGAAACAGAATGAGGGGGAAATGAGGGAACAAGAACTAGGATCAATGGAAAGAACGTGAGTGAGAGTGAAAGAATAATTGGAGGAGAGAAATTGATGGATTGACTGAAAGAGTGAGTGAGGAACCGAGTGAGACTGATTGAGAGATCGATTGAGGGATGAACTGAGGGAATGATTGAGAGAGCGAGAAACAGAATGAAGCGAAAAATGAGGGAACGAGAGAACTAGGGCCAATGGAAAGAGCGTGAGAGAACGTGAGTGAGAGTAAGTGAAAGTGAAGGATTAATTGGACTAGGGAAAGTGATGGATTGACTGAAAAAGTGAGTGAGTGAGGAACCGAGTGAGACTGATTGAGAGATCGATTGAGGGATGAACTGAGGGAATGATTGAGAGAGCGAGAAACAGAATGAGGGGGGAAATGAGGGAACAAGAACTAGGATCAATGGAAAGAACGTGAGTGAGAGTGAAAGAATAATTGGAGGAGAGAAAGTGATGGATTGACTGAAAGAGTGAGTGAGGAACCGAGTGAGACTGATTGAGAGATCGATTGAGGGATGAACTGAGGGAATGATTGAGAGAGCGAGAAACAGAATGAGGGGTGAAATGAGTGAACAAGAACTAGGATCAATGGAAAGAACGTGAGAGAACGTGAGTGAGAGTGAAAGAATAATTGGAGGAGAGAAAGTGATAGATTGACTGAAAGATTGAGTGAGGAACCGAGTGAGACTGATTGAGAGATCGATTGAGGGATGAACTGAGGGAATGATTGAGAGAGCGAGAAACAGAATGAAGCGAAACATGAGGGAACGAGAGAACTAGGGCCAATGGAAAGAGCGTGAGAGAACATGAGTGAGAGTAAGAAACGCGAGGAAGAGAGTGAAAGTGAAAGAATATTTGGAGAGAGTGATGGATTGACTGATTGATTGAAAGAGTGAGGAATCGAGTGAGACTGATTGAGAGATCGATTGAGGGATGAACTGAGGGAATGATTGAGAGAGCGAGAAACAGAATGAAGGGGGAAATGAGGGAACAAGAACTAGGATCAATGAAAAGAACGTGAGAGAACGTGAGAGAGTGAAAGAATAATTGGAGGAGAGAAAGTGATAGATTGACTGAAAGAGTGAGTGAGTGAGGAACCGAGTGAGACTGAGAGATCGATTGAGGGACCGATTGAGAGACCGATTGAGTGATGAACTGAGGGAATGATTGAGAGCGAGAAACAGAATGAAGGGGGACATGAGGGAACAAAAACTAGGATCAATGGAAAGAACGTGAGAGAACGTGAGAGAGTGAAAGAATAATTGGAGGAGAGAAAGTGATGGATTGACTGAAAGAGTGAGTGAGAAACCAAGTGAGACTGATTGAGAGACCGATTGAGGGATGAACTGAGGGAATGATTGAGAGAGCGAGAAACAGAATGAAAAGAAAAATGAGGGAACGAGAGAACTAGGGCCAATGGAAAGAGCGTGAGAGAACATGAGTGAGAGTAAGAAACGCGAGAGGAAGAGTAAAAGTGAAAGAATATTTGGAGAGAAAGTGATGGATTGACTGAAAAAGTGAGTGAGTGAGGAACCGAGTGAGACTGATTGAGAGATCGATTGAGGGATGAACTGAGGGAATGATTGAGAGAGCGAGAAACAGAATGAGGGGGGAAATGAGGGAACAAGAACTAGGATCAATGGAAAGAACGTGAGTGAGAGTGAAAGAATAATTGGAGGAGAGAAATTGATGGATTGACTGAAAGAGTGAGTGAGGAACCGAGTGAGACTGATTGAGAGATCGATTGAGGGATGAACTGAGGGAATGATTGAGAGAGCGAGAAACAGAATGAGGGGGGAAATGAGGGAACAAGAACTAGGATCAATGGAAAGAACGTGAGTGAGAGTGAAAGAATAATTGGAGGAGAGAAATTGATGGATTGACTGAAAGAGTGAGTGAGGAACCGAGTGAGACTGATTGAGAGATCGATTGAGGGATGAACTGAGGGAATGATTGAGAGAGCGAGAAACAGAATGAGGGGGGAAATGAGTGAACAAGAACTAGGATCAATGGAAAGAACGTGAGAGAACGTGAGTGAGATTAAGAAACGCGAGAGGAAGAGTGAAAGTGAAAGAATAATTGGAGAGAAAGTGATGGATTGATTGAAAGAGTGAGTGAGGAACTGAGTGATGAGCTGAGGAAGCGATTGAGAAGACGAGGAACAGAATGAAAGAGAAAGCGAATAGACATAGAGTAAGACAATGCATGAAAGCGTAAAAAGGCGATGAAAAGAGTGAAAGTGAAGGATTAATTGAACGAGAGTGAATGAATGACTGAAAGAGTGGGTGAGGGACCAAGTGAGAGTGATGAAGGAGGAAATGATTTAGAAGACGGAACAGAATGAGAGTAACAGCAAGGAACAGGGCAGAAAGCAATAGACCGACGGTAAGAAAGAGCAAGACAATGTATGTAAGCGGTAAAAAGCGAAAGTGATCGAAAGAGAACGAGAGAGTGTGGGAGTGAGAGTTAGTGAAAGTGAACGATTAATTGAACGAGAAAGTGATGGATTGATTGAAAAGGAGTGAATGAAGGGGAGAAAGCGAAAGCGAAAGCAAGGGAGAATCAGCACGAAATAAAGCAATAGACCAAGAGTCCAAGAGAGTGAAAAGGCGAGTGATCGAAAGGGAGAGAGAGGGAGGGAGAGAGTGAAAGATAAAAATTAATTGGACTAGAGAAAGTGAAGGATTGAGTGGGGGGACCGAGTGAGAGTGAACCGAGGAAATGATTAAGAATGCGAGAGATCGTGAATGCGAGAAAACCAGAGCGAGGGCAAACAGCGCAAAGAAGCGCAAGAATGCATTAGAACGAGAGCACAAGAGAGAACAAGAGGGAAGTGAAAGTTGAGAGAAATTACTCAGGGTACTTAATCGGAAAACGATTAGTGAGGCATCTCTAGTCTGCGGTGCAAGTCCAGCATCATCAGCCCTTTCAGCTTGTCATGCTGGAGTTCTATGGAAGAACAAGAGAATATAAAGCCAAGGGCTTATTGTGGCTCATTTCACACAAATTGTGCGGCAACAAAAATTGCCAAGGGATAATCACAAAAGCAACGAGCCATGCAGCAACAACACACGCACACTCACACATACATAGGATCATGTATACGAATTATATTACTCTATTGTTTTTTCGAACAACGTCTTTTGTCTTTGCTGGCCATTTATTTGCGGCTTGTCCGATGAATTGATTTTTGATTAATTAAAATATTTATTTTGCCTGGCAATTAAATGATCAACATAATTTATGAGAGCCTTCCATCTTAGCAGAAGCAGTTGGCATAGCCACAGGAGATGCGTTAAATGTGCATTTATGTTGTGCCGGAATTACGCATACGCAGCGTGGGTGGCTGAGAGGAGGATGTCCGTTGAGAGGGGAATGTCTGTGGCTGTGTGGGAGGAGGGCGGGCACATTAATAAATTTCCAAGTGTTTGAATCCCCGTACATGGTTTATTTTATGGCCGCCTCAGCTTTACCACGCACACATGTGTGCGCGCAAAGTAGGAAGGATATATAACTGGCGGTAAGATATTGTTGTCCTGCCGTGCGTGTGGCCATAAAACACTCGAGAGAGTTATGTCCTCCTGCTGGTCGCCATACGACAGCCAGCTAAATGCATTGGTATGCGTTGCGTAACGAAAAACAATTAGCTCTGCGGCCAAGAACAAAAACAACAAACAACAAAAATACACGCAAAAAAAGTAGAAATAAAAATCGACCAAGCAGCGGCCGGAAACGAGTCACAGCTTTGTTGTTGAGCAAAACTTTTATATGGCTTGTTTTCGTGTCTCTCTCGCTCGCTGTATGTGTGCGACTCTGCGTGCTTGTGTATGGGCCTTATCACTTTTATACTTTGTTAGCCAGCTGCCCCGTTGAGTGATTGCAGCTTGGCAATTGAGTCCGGATGACGACAATGTTCTATCGAACACACGCGCGCTTCTCTCATGAGTTCGCTTTACTTTGGCCAGGGACTCAATTAATTGAAGTTTTATTGGCTGATTGAATTTGGCTGGCTGTTCGTGTGTGAGTGCACAGCAGCAATTGGCCCATAATAAAAGTGGAATCAAATTGATTGATTGTTAACGTGCTTGAGAAAAAGTTCCCGAAATGCGTTAGTTATAAAAATGTTTTATATGAATGTTGTAGAGCTTGACAATAAAATAAAGTAGCTAGTCAGTCGAAGGGGTGTGGCAAAAAGTTATGCGAGCAATTGAAACATTGATTTCATTCCAACTGCTGGGATATAATTATTTTTAACAGACGAAAAGTGATTAATTTTTTATCTCGGGAAGGTAAATTTGGATTTATTAAATATTATTTATATATTTATAGAATAGTTACTAAATTATTTCACAATTTACTTTTTATTTCTTTACTTTTATATTTTAAATTTAAATGTATATTTTTTTAACAAATTTAATTCATGTTTTTATGTATTAATTAGTTTCTTCAATTTTTTCATCTGTGTTCTCTTCAATTATATGCAATATTTTTATTAACAAATAATACGATTACATTTAATATTTATTATTTTACATATTATATTTAATATTTAAATTATATTTCATAAATTTCTAATTTATTTCATATGAATTTACTTTTTATTTCTTGGATTTTATAAATATATTGTATAATTAGACAAATTAATAAATTATTGAATATATTATTTATAGTTCTCTTGTGGATTAATTTTATAATTTCTAATTTACACATATAATTTAGTTTTATTTATTAATAAAATTAATTAATTTACGTATTATACATAAAATTCCAATATAATTTTAAAAAATCATATTTTGAATTTTCCAGTTTCAATACCATTACAATTTTTATTAAAGACTTTTTTATTAATTTAAGATTTAAATGACGACTAAAATATACTAAAATGCAGCTCTTTTAGCCATAACCATGAGAAAGAAGAGTACTTAATAGTTAAGTAAGTTAATAAGTTGGAATAAAAGAATGAGAAAGGAACAAGGCTTACTGCCATAAATACAGCATGTAAATTTCTAAATCAGTTGAAACAAATTTATTAGATTGAAAGTAGAGGAAGTGTCATATTAATGTCTTACTGTAAAGATAAATTGACAGTTAAATCTTAGTGCATCCCCTAGGACTGCTTGTCACCTCTATCATATTTAACAAATAAAGTTTTTGCCTTACCTTTTATTGCTTGTTCGACTATACATATTTAATTTCCTATAAACTTATAGATTGCACACACACAGCAGCAGCAGCAGCAGCAATAGGAGCAGCAGCCGCAGCCATGACAAGCAGAAATAGCTAGGAATGGCCATAATATAGTAAATTCCAAACTAAGTAATCCTTTAATACCTTTTAGTTACCGGCAGCTCCAATACCAGCGGCTACTGCAGTTCGAATACCTTATTTACTTTATAGGTAAGGCAGAGCACAGCAATAGCAAAGCTATTTTAGTCGCTTACCTGGCCAGCGCGCAATTCTTTCCAGCTGACTTTAATCAGTAGCATTCTTCGATGGAGTCCTGCTGCATGAAGTCCTGCTGCAACGTCGTCCTGCACTCAATTCGTTTTCTTTATTTTCCAGCCAAACGGAAGTCATGTGTGCCGGTTGCGCACATCCTTTTTGTGTGCGCTCAAAAGGAGCGAGCACAGCACATATTTAAACCATACCAAACACACACAGACAGGCATTCCTTAAATATATATATATATATATATATATATATATATACATATAATCTATATATGGGGAGGATAATCGCTTTACAATCAGACAGGAAGCTATTGCAAGCATGATTGTTTCCGCGAAACGTGTTTGCTGCTGCTGCAAATATTCTGGCCAATAGCTTAAGAAATGAGATACAATTCAAGGAAATCTACTTTCAACGAGACAAGCTTTTAGGCAGTCTCGTGTAGGTCAAGTCGCCTAGGGGGGCGGGTATATGGGCACTTGTGCATTTCCCAGGAAATGTTTACCAGTTGATTAAATTCATTGCGTAATCTAAATGAAAATAACAGTAAAGCTAAAATTTATTTTTCTTGCGATAGAAGCAAAAATTCTAAAGGAAAATATGGAAAATTTATGAAATTGCATTTTAAATTTGTTTTTTTTAATTAGCTAAAAATATGAAGTTTTAATTACTCTACTTGGCTAGCTTACATTACCTTAATATATATATAAAGCCATATGTAATATATTGTATAACCATATATAAAAATTCGTCGGGCAATAATACTATACAGATATATATTTATACATCCCTTAGTTATTTCATTATTATATTTATACCGTCACTTAATGATAACTTCTACAGTAAACTATACTATACACACGAACTATATTATCAAAGCCTAAGATCTATGTATCCAATCTATTTAATAGTTTAGATTAAGATATTTATATAATTATTATTCATAAGCCTTGTATGCAATGTATCTAAGTCTACTTAAGGTTCTAATATATTAATATCTTATTAATTCATCATTCCTCAATAGTTTCTACCAAGTATAGCTAATACAAGCCGCCATAGACTTCACAGGGAATCCAGATAGCTTCATCGAATCATTCAGCTTAACGTGTTTTGACCTTAGATTCAACATCTTATCTTAAGCCCGAATAGCCACGCCGCGTGGGCCAATTTCGTGTGCCAAGTAAAAGGCCATTTGAAACAAGTGCACAGCTCAACAGTGACAGAGAGGGGAGGACATTGCGGGGGTAGACCACAAATAAATTACCCTGGCACGTTGAAGATTTGTTAATAAAGATAAATTTACTTATCGTTTATCTTGATTATACAAAATGCCTAAGTGAAAATTCAAAGAACAGGCGAATGGCCGTCGGGTCACACACATTCCTCACCTCCGTCGGCTGCTCAGCTGGGGGAAATTCAGCTGCGCCTAAAAACTTTTCCATTTCCTCGTTTCCCATGCCACGGGCCGTTTGTTTCATTTATGTAATAGGAGCGAGGAGCGCCATAAGGTGGCTCGCCATTTATATAAACAAAATACATATTTCAATGTTTTATAATAAATTAAATAACTTGTCGGTGGATCTTGAGCGTTGGCCAAAAGAGGACATTCTTTAGGACTGCAAAGCAAGGCCAACGCAATGTTTGCCAAGAACCCAAGTCTAGAGGGCAGTCCAGAGACCAGTCAAAATGAAGTCTCTGAGAATGGAAGGGGATCTACTGTTTACAGCTGCTGATTAAGTCCTTAGTCCTTGTAGTTTTAGTTTTGGGTAGATTTTTCGCAAGACTTGCGACAATTTGAGCACAGTGGGCATGGCAGGCCTTTCTAAGACATTCAATCAGCTTTATCTTGGCTTTCAGATCCACTAGTGTTTAGCGTTGCTAGAGTATAATAGTGTTGCTAGAGTCTAATAGTGTTAGTGTTGCTAGAGTCTACAAGTGTTGCTAGAGTCTACAAGTGTTGCTAGAGTCTACAAGTGTTGCTAGAGTCTACAAGTGTTGCTAGAGTCTACAAGTGTTGCTAGAGTCTACAAGTGTTGCTAGAGTCTACAAGTGTTGCTAGAGTCTACAAGTGTTGCTAGAGTCTAATACAATATGAATATTCTATTTATCGCTTCAGCTCCCACTTTTCCAAGATACTCGGCATTTCCTTCAGTGCCCAACAAATTTTCTAGGAAAATACAACAAAAGCAACAAATTTAAAATAATTTACAGTACTGTGTGCACAACGAAGGCGGAAAAAAAGATAAGGCAGGGAAACTGTTTATACATTTATTATTCAATTTTATGGCCAAAAAACCAAGTGCAAATAGTTTGCGGACTTTGGGGCTAAGAATATGT